CCCCCTAAAAGAAAGAGAGGCCAGCTATCCATTCTGTAGGAGTCTTGGTCAGGCTTGGGTGGTGCAGAAATTGCATGAAAAATCCAAAATCCGTGGCTATATTGTACAGGCTCGGTTCTTTCTTTTAAACATGCTTTTTTATGTGACGGCTGCAGAATGTGCTCGGGGACGGGATGTTTAACAAGCCCAGCCTGACAAAGACGCCTACGGAGTCAAACATTAGACCCCATAGGTGAGATTTAGCACCCAGGTTTGTCTCTGGACCATAGCCATAGAGGGATTTTCAATTTACTTCTTTGATGCCACTGTTTAAGAGGGCAAAGCCTGAGTGGAGGACATTAAGACGTAGAAGCAACAAAAAAAGGAAAATAATTGTAGAGAGATTAGTAATAATCATCTTAGAACTGCAGAGCTGGAAAGGATCCTATACATACACTGTCAAGGAGACCCAGTGTGGAATCGAACTCCCAACCAGATGCCTAAACCACTCAGCTATCCAGCATATCTTAAGAGGCGAACAACTGAGATCCTTGCTCCCAATTAGTTCTGAATTAGCTGCTGTGCAACCTTATGCAAGCTACTTCCTGCTCAGTATTACCCGGCCATCTGTGTAATGGGGATAAGGCTCACTTACATTACACAAAGATTTCACAAAGATTTATCAAGAACACTACACACAAAGGCGTTCTAAAGGTCTGAAGTTGTGCATACACACATGAGAGGCAGTTATGCCTCCCCTAAATTCGCTGTGAGCCAAAACCGGCTCCAGGGAAAGAAAAAAGAGAGAGAGAAATTGCCAAAAATTAAAAGTAGCTGGACGTTGACGGTTGATTTTACAGTTTTTCAGAAAAGGAAAACGTGTTTCTTGCTTCAGAGGAGCACTGCCACTTCTGCAAGCCTTCAGGACAGTTGACTCTCCTTTTTAATCCATTTTGTGGATTTTGCGGACGTACAGCCCACAGGCCATGCGTTGCCGACCTTGGAACTAGCAGATGGTGGGGAAAGAGATGACCCACTCAAGCCAACAGCCTTCATTTCAAGGAGATATTCCCAGGCTACTTTAAAAACAAAAAAATAATAATGTGATCCATAGAAGGCTGTTTCCTACATTCCTAAGTGTTTAAAACACGGTTAGCTCATAAATGTTATCTACTTGGCTGGATTTCACCACCAACCGTTGAAGAGGAAGGCAATTTAAGCAACTGAAAATGTTAGCCTGACATTTTCAACTTTTAAGTAGCTTATCCCCTCTGAAAATAACAACGAAAGCCCACACCAAAATATACAAAGAAATCACATACAAAACATACTACTAAATCACATATAGCATAAACACAGAGAAGAGCATTAATAAAACCATACAAGCATATTAAGACTATCCTGGCCTAAGGGTGGATGAGTCAGTCTATTTCCAGCCCATCTTGGCTTCACATGTATTCAGTCATAATTCTGCTCCATCTTATTTCCACATCAGTTTGCACATTATTAAAAATAAAATTTTAAAAAAATCTCATACAGCTTTTCATGCATTTCTTCTTTCCCTGATACACCCCATTTTCTATGCATTTTCTGAGTCAAGGACTACATCATAAAATCCAGGAAAGGACACCGTAGAAAGGATAGTTGTGTTCCAGTCTGCGTAATCATCCAGAAAGTGGGGATCACACTGGTTTTCTTGAGAAGATGGACCAAATTCTCTCCCACCCAGCCTATCAAATGCAAAATGAATACCTCTGGGGAGGGAATCCTGTGCCTCCTGGCACAGTGGTTACAGAGGGAATCCTCAGCCAAAGTTGTGCTCATGACCTGGGGTTCGATCCCAGGTAGCCGGCTCAAGGTTCACTCAGCCTTCCATCCTTCCTAGCTTGGTAGAATGAGTATCCGGCTCACTTGGGGGGGCAATGTGTATCCTGCATAATTAACTTGTAACCCCCTCCCCAAGAGTGCTTTAAGTGCTATGGGGCAGTATATAAGCAGCACACTTTGCTTTTTTGCTTTACTGCTAAGTCACAGCAATGGTCCTACTTCCCAGAAGGCAGGGATACTCAGATAATGGGCAGATATATATGGCTCATATTCAGCTTGCAATCTACAACAATTCCTATATATATACAGTATATGGGAATCAACAGCTTCTCCAGTGCCTCAGACACCAACCATTCAGGGTATTAAGAGAGTAGAGCAAGCACTTGGCAAACTCAAAACAACAACAACAACAACCCAAAGGCAATGCAGATCTTTAACTCTAGTGACCATGTTCCATTTGGTTAAGTTCCAGTTAGCAACCTGGCTGCCCTTTACAAAGCAGAGCCCGCGTTCCAAACCAAAGCTAGGAGAACAGCATTCTGGAATATGCAGCTTTTCTGAGCTCTAAACTCTGTTTCACATTAACTAAAAAATTTAAATAATCTTCTGATGCAGCGTGGGGTATATATAATGCTTTGCGGGCACCTCATGACAATGTCGTACACACAAATCAATCGGCTCCTCCAAAGCAGGGACAGAATAGACACTTGATTTCCTTAGATTCTCTGCCTTCTAAAGTCCACTCCATGATTTCGTAGCGATACGAATCGTAATGATACGAATAGATGATACAAATCGTAACGATAGAAGTAAAGGAAGAAAGAACCACACATCTTTCCAACCTTTTCAGAAACAAACTATTCCACAGCAGTAGTATTGTAGTGCAATGGCAGTATGGGACACAGAAATTAACAAGACACAATGAAGGGCCTTGTTAATGAAGAATTCACTCTCACTCACTCTCTCTACTATCATGTCTTCCTGCTTGTGAGGTATGGCTGACCTGCCTTGAATTAATATACTGTAGAATCATAGAATAATTGAGTCGGGAGAGGCCTATAAGGCCATAGAGTCCAACCCGCTGCTCAAGGCAGGAATCCAAATCAAAATAGATCTAACCAAGGAATGTTCATTTTTCTTTTGAATGGCTCCAGTGTTGCAGCACTCACCACCTCCCCAAGTACAGTGGTGCCCCGTATAGCGAGGTTAATCCGTTCC